AATGTTGACAGAAAGTGGAATAATTTTTACTGATGAAGAGTGGTCAACTGTATGGACATTTCAGTGGAAATCAACTAGGTCACTAAATTGGAAGGAGTACTGCTGGAAAAACATTTTATAACACCAATACAAACAGCCAAATACAGTAATAACACTCCAAAACTGCGGATGTATGAAGCAAACCATTACCATATATTTTGGGAATGTTTATATTCAAGAACATTGGAAAGAAATACAGGATACTCATATTTTTAGAGGAGACATATACCTCTAGAATGCAAATGACTGTATTTTGGCTATGTGTGTCCAGATATAGTAGCAGCAGATAATAAATCCATGACGGCCGTGCTTTTGGCAGCCAGAAGGCAATCGCACGCAAATGCTTGATTTGATGACTGGATCGATGACCATTGAGACTTAAATGATGGAAAAGATAACTTTTTTTGTTAATTTGAAGAAAGATGTTTTTCTGGGAAAATGGAGGAAATGGGTTGAATATGTATCAGAAAGAAGGTCAGATTTTGTTGCTATACACTCTAAAAAATGCTGGGTTGTTTCAACCCAAATTTGGGTAAAATATGGACAAACCCAAATGTTGGGTTAAAAATGTAATTAAAAAAAATTACAGTTGAAAGTGAAAGTTGAAGTTGGGTTAACATTTTAAATTACATTTTAACCCAACATTTGGGTTTGTCCATATTTGACCCAAATTTGGGTTAAAACAACCCAGCATTGTTTAGAGTAGATGAAGATTAATACATAATGTATATGTTAATAATATGTGTTTGTAATAATAATTCTCATAAGTCATTTGAGATTATAATAATAAGTCATTTGAGGTTGTTAAGGATGGAATCTAGGACACATGTTCTCTCCTTGGATGTATAGTTACCCTTTTTTTTCTTTTTCTTTTTCTGTGCCCTTATTTCTTTATTTAATTTATTTTCCGTTGTAAAAGAAAAAATATATATATACTTTGAAACAATTGAACAAACCTGGAGTACAATTTATGTTTAAAACACATTAAGTATATTTGTAAAGACACTTTGTGATTGCATTGAGCACTATATGTAACCTGATATAGGCTACTATATGATTGTACTCAAATGAATGATCAAAATAAACACAAAATAATAAGAATAAAGGAATCGGAAAATGCATGAATTAATGAATTGCATTTAACTCGTGTCATTGAGGAAATTATCCATGTGTTCTTTAATGTGTGGGTAAATCATTAGTAGATCACGCTAATTTGCCCTGTTTATTAAATCTGTATCATTTGTTAAAGCTCGTAGAGTTTTTTTTTTTTTTTTTTTTTTTTTTTAAATGCACAGGTAGCAGATATTCATTGGAAAGAGGCATGATTAAATCCATATACAGTTTGTATGTTAAATAAAGTTATAGAGATACGCTTTAAAATATTTCACAAAATCTACCCATGCAAAGTTTCCTCTTTATTAAAATTCATGGACATTGACAACAAATGCTCTTTTTGTTCTGTACACAAGGAAGACTTGACTCGATCATTTGTACTGTGATTTATCTTTAAAATTTTGGTCTGATGTTAGTTTTTTTATATTTGCCCCAAGAAACGTTAGTTATAAACTATCTCTAAAAGATGTTATATGTTCTTACACATAGAAGCAAAATGTTTGTATATGTTGTGAACTTCTATATTTTGGATGATAAATATTACATGCATAAACAAAAATGTGCAAAATGCATACTTAAATGTAATTTATTCTTAATAGTGATGGATTCGTTGAAAGTCCTTCATGCTAATTAATAACAAACATAATAATATTTTGTTGAACTTTATGGATACATTCTTTATGTACAATCTCTGTTACATTAATTTCCTATTATCATTGTAAAGCTGATTTGACAATCTATATTGTTGTGCTATAGGTGATTTGAATGTGTCCCTATAGGAAAAAGGAAGAAATATTTGTTTGTTTGTTTGTTTTATCCTTCAGAATGTTTTGCAGATATGATCTAATCTAAGCATCCGTTTTTGACTGAAACCTGTTAGGCTGTGACATTTGGTTCAATTAAAAAAAAAAACTTATTTGTCAAGGATGTTTGTTTGTGGTTGTTTTTTAATCATTAATAATACTTCAATCTAGCAGAACACACTGGCATATAAAAGTGTAACAAGCCGATTAACAGAATGTTCAGTTGGATATGTTCTGCTGTTTAAAGTCCCCCTGCAGTCAATAATTTTATTCCTTAAAACTCATATTTGATCACCAAAATTATATATTTAAACGTTTTTTCCTTTAAAATGTTTTCTTCATGCCTTAAAATAGCTTGACTGTACTCTACCCGTGACTTATTTAGTATACGCGGTTCTATGAATATACAAATGAGCCCCGCCTCCACTCATTCACAGCAGCTCAGCAATGATGTTGACTTATGAATTTGCACATGGTTTGTATTAAAGCATATATATATATATATATATATATATATATATATATAAAAACAGACATACAAACAACATCAGGGCCGTAGCTAGAGGATTCGGGGCCCCCTGAAAAAATATTGATGTGGGCCCCCACCACCCTCCACCAATATCATATACTGTACAATAGATGAACATGGAGGCCCACATATAACAGAAGATGGTGATGTTGTTGTAAAACCTTTATTTTAAAAGTTAAATGTTTATATAAAAATTACAACTAATAAAAACTAACAAAAAGCAAGAAATTTTTAAATAAAAATAAAAACCAATTATTAAAAAGTAATATTTTTTTCCCCCATCAGTCTGTTAATTGATAAATCAAAAAGTAAACATTTAGAAATTGACAAGAATGCAGTCTAATTAAAAAAATAAAACCATTTATTGCCTTATTTTTTAATAAAGATAATATGGAACTGGTAATATTATTAAATAAAGCGAATACATTTATTCATCCAAGTGCAGTGTGTTGTATTCGTGTTTTCTCGATGTTTTAAATATCATCAGCCGGCAGGTCAGATGCATAATGCAATGCGTCGTGACCACTGATCTATATAGAATGACTGGATAGCTCATGACGTCATAAACAGTGAAGCCACCGCGCCGCCATATTGTGATTCCCTAGTGAGCTCACGCGTTCTATTGAATCAATAGGAAATTGTATGATTTGACTGAGAAAACATTGCATAACGAGACACCGTCTTTAAATCTAAAGTCTCCCTGAACAGTCTTACAACGCAAACATCCTAAGCATTTAAATGGGTATTTGTTTAAAGTCGGAAATTATTCCTGCTTACTAAAAATTAAGTATATGTGAATTGTGAACTTAAAATTTAGCTCTTTCTGATTGTGTTTTACAGATAGATCAGTAGTCTGTTCAAGTATTTGATTAGTTAGCAAGAACATGTCCAGGAAATGCATAATACAAATTGTATGGGTTAATGTACACCTGTTTCACCTCTTATTTACCCCTTATTTACACGGCACACGTCTGCGGCGCGTTTACAGCTGCGACACGGCTACCGGAGCTGATCGCGCCCACAAATCGGCAAATCACGTGGAAATTATCCCGGTGTGAGTTGACACCGCGTGAAGGTAGGAATAAAACATTGTCGGAGCCATAATGCGCCGCAGATGTGTGCAGTGTAAATAAGGGGTTTACACATAGGCCTACTCCGTTTGTAGTGCATATTTTTTACCATACCCATGTCAACAGGTTGGAGCTTTCACTGCACGCGGATGCCCGTCCTGTGCGGTGCGTGCAGAGATCGTTTGTGCTGCAGGCGCTGAATTAAAGTGACAGCGCATGGTTCGTGGTCAAACTGAACACGGATTGACATGAAAATATTAAATGTATGCATTTAATTAAATTTATAAGAAGTAATGCATTGAATAATACGTTTATTGGGTTTAAACTTGAATACGTCTGTGAAAGAATGCATAGTGGGCTATAAAAAAAATTGAAACAACACGGAAATAGCGACAATTGTGCATATAAATTACTATATATGGGATTAAAGTACATCCTGTGAGCAGTTTTTCAAGACCCTTTTGTGATCTTCGTTTTACACTTGTTGATGCGCAGCGGGTCATCTTAAAAGTGCCGTCGGAGCTACCGATCTCTGTATAACGGCCGTTGGAGCCCTCTGCTGGTAGGGAATCGTAAGATGGCCGCTCGAACACTTCCGGTGGCTTCACTGCCTGGTGGCAGTTTAGAACGTCATGAGCTATCCAGTCATTATATAGATCAGTGGTCGTGACTCGTGTAATTTTTTTAAAACTCTAGTTACAATACTGTAAAAAGACAGGAATTTAGACCACGTAATCATACGGTCGATTGTGGCGCGCACCGATAATAAAAAATGACTGTACACGGCAGACTGTAGACGGAAGTTTTCTAATTCCCAGCGAAATAATAATAACTTTAAGAACGTCTTGATCGAATGGGATACATACAACCACTCTGCTTGCCTCCCTCTCCGTCTTTTCCTGGTATTTCTGGTTCCCTGATTTCTGTTTTCTTTTCCCCGACATTTTTCAGTCAGTCAGTCTCCTGCTCTTCCACCAACTTCATCGTTAACTTCAGGCTGCCGCCTCAACTCTGATTGGTTCTGTTCACGAGCTGGGGTGGGACTTACAATTTTATTGGGTCCATCTGATGTTTGTCACTGACTCTGACCCTGCTCTGACTGAATAATTAATAAATACTTTAGGTCGGACTAAACCATTTTTATGGAGGTAAGAAAAGCAGATATTTGGAAAAATATTAACCCAAATTGCACGTTTTTGTGGTTTTCATTTAAATCTCAGGCATACAACTAATATAAATATTAGAATTATTCATACAACAGGGGCCTAAATAGTATAACTGCTGGATTTTGTGGGGCCCCCTGGGCAGCGGGGGCCCCTATAATTGTCACCACCTTTCACCCCACTAGCGACGGCCCTGAACAACATTAAAAACTTGATTTTCACCAAAGGGGGGCTATAATTTCAGAGGGGACTTTTATTTTGACACGCCGATGTGACGCGCATGCGCAGCTCAGAAATCCTGTGATCACGCCTAGTGAACCGAGAGTCACACGATCATCTATATGATCACCGCTTTACTCTCCGTTTAAAGTGCTTTTATTCTTGATATCTCTAAACATTTAGTCTTAAGGGGATGTTAAAAACACCGAAAGCTTGTCGCTAAGGAATAAGGTAGATGAACGTGTTCTTTTCTCATCTGTCAGTGTGTTTAGGTTAGGCCTGTTTACAAACTATCATACACAGACAAGGAGGCTTACAATAGAGGACAAATCGCACATTTATTAAGTTAAAACACAATAACGAAAAAAAAAAAAAAACATTATTCTGCGGTGATAAAAAGGTTTAGTGTAAAAATCCATAAAAGAGAGTTAAAAACTGTTAAATTCACAAGATGTTCTCTGCTAATCAGCGAAGTCTCTTATAGTTCACATGTAACGTTAGATAATAGGAATGACACCAGACCTTAAAAAATTAATATTCATATGATAAAACCAAATTATGTTTATTTTCATATTAAACATCACAACAGATATTTATCACTCAGTTTAGCTCTCCTTTATATGACTTTATTTAAATTAAATTAATGATAACATAATAGAAACACATGGATACATTATGTACGTGTATATTATATTAAAGTATGGTAATAATTGTTATAATATTGTTTAATGGAAGTATATTATGCCATTATACGCCTACGATTACTACTAAAGCACTTATTCTGCAGACACTATTGTATTTAAACAGGTGTTTTATCTTGAGATGTCACATAATTGGTTATGCAATATTAATATATTTTTTTATTGTTTGAGTGATGGAAAGGGTCTGGGGTGGCCGGTGCTGTCAGACAGGTGCAGCGTGATCTCAGAAGCAGTGGATCTGACACAGACTCTCACACACACACCTCATGGCCTCCATCTACGCGCCGTCATTAGAGGACTCGGCTGAGGTGAAGGAGGGCTTCTTGTGCCCGCTCTGTCTGAAAGACCTTCAGTCCTTCTACCAGCTACAAGGCCATTATGAAGAGGAACACTCCGGAGACAACCGGCACGTCGGTGGTCAGCTGAAGAGTAAGTCTGAATTAAAGGCCCCCTGAAATTAAAATTGAGGTTTTTTAGTTGAAGAAGCTGAGGTCTCCTGGCCAGATCCTGTCCTCTCTGGACCATACTGGACAGAGGCGGTCCTGCGTCTCACACACACACACACACACACACACACACACACACACACACACACACACACACACAGAGATCTTTCACCATGAGGCGTCTCTATACAACGCCGCTCATGCATCAATGAGATTTGGAGCATTAAAGGGTTAGTTCACCCAAAAATGAAAATTATGTCATTAATGACTCTCCCTCATGTCGTCCCAAGCCCGTCAGACCTCCGTTCATCTTCAGAACACAGTTTAAGATATTTTAGATTTAGTCCGAGAGCTTTCTGTCCCTCCATTGTAAATGTGTGTACGGTATACTGTCCTTGTCCAGAAAGGAAATAAAGACATCATCAAAGTAGTCCATGTGACATCAGTGGGTTAGTTAGAGTGTGTTGAAGCATCGAAAATACATTTTGGTCCAAAAATAACAAAAACTAGGACTTTATTCAGCATTGTATTGTCTTCCGGTTCTGTTGTGGATCCGCGTTCAGTGCCGTTCAGTGCTTACTGAAAGCTCATTTTTTTAGATATCAACCTAAAATTTGGAATACAACTTGTTCAGATTCTTGTCTTTCATTTTCTTGCAGTTTTAGAGTAAAATATATTTTGTAATATATATATTTTATATAAAATATTAATAATTATATTTTTACATTACACCATTTCATAAACTCAAACTTATATAACTTTTTTTCTGTTTCATTTTTTATCATTTCTAGACTTCTACAATAATCTGGAAAATGTCTTCTTTAAAACAAGACCAGCCATAGGTCTATATTCCAAAGCATTCCTGAATTACAACCATTTAAGTTTGGATAGTGATTTTTATGTCTATGCAAAAGAAAGGGGGGTGACAGTTAACAGGTTAAAACGAGTGTGTTACAACTAGCGTGCGTTAGTTTGTGCCCCCCTCACTCCTGCGCTGATACTTCTAACACACCATGTTAGTTTACATCCTAGTTTCCTAGCAAGTGAAGGAGCTGACGTATTCAGTTGTATTGGTCATTGTTTCTCAGGCCTGGTGCAAAAGGCAAAGAAAGCCAAAGACAAGCTGTTAAAGCGGGACGGAGAGGAGCGGACAGACAGCGGCTACGAGTCGTTTTATTACGGAGGAGTGGACCCGTACATGTGGGAGCCGCAGGAGCTCGGTAAGACTCGCTGACAAACACAGATCTATAACATTCTTCAGCAAGAAGTCACTCATGTTGCTTTCAGTGCTATGCAGTTTCAGTGCTATGCAGTTTCAGTGCTATGCAGTTTCAGTGCTATGCAGTTTCAGTGCTATGCAGTTTCATGTTGGGTGTGTTATTGTACATGCATTCAAGCTGTTCCTGGATCATTGGGTGTTGACCAGTCCTTCAAGAAAAATAGTTTTTTTGTGATTGTTGCGGGCAAAAATCCTTGATTATGCGGCCCGTTTTCTTTAAAAATGCGATGGAATATGCAGGATATTTATGCAATTTTATGCGATGAAATTGCGGGAACTTGGAAAAACTGCGGTTTGATGAAAAAGAGAAAAAAAAGTGATTCCCCAACACCCTGTTCCAGGGTTCCCGCGGATCCTTAAAAAGTCTTAAAAAGTCTTAAATTAGATTTTTAAAATTTAAGACCATAAAAAGTCTTATAAAGTCTTATTTTTACTTATGAAAGGTCTTAAATTTTAGATGACACTTTGACTTAGACATATCTAAAAGCTTTCCAAATTAAAACTATCTAATTAGCGTACGTATTTTTATTTATTTATTATTCTATCTTTGTGGATTTGCTAGTTCACGTGACATTTCGCGTCACTCGCGAGTCGCGGCAGCATAACTGTCTCCTGACCTGCACGCGAGAGGAGAGAAAGAGAAGAAAGGTCGTAAATGTCAGTTCAGTTGTAAGTTCATTCTTTATGTGCGTATGGTTTGCGATGTGTATTGTCTATTATGATATTGTAATCATTGTTTTTAACAATGTACGAGGCACTGCGAGCTGACAAAGCATTTGTCTCTCGTGCTTTCACTGCGTGATGTGTGCAGTGTAACTGTTATGTCCCCAAATTAGTTTTTGTCTTAAATTTATATCATATTATGTTCTTATATTAGAATATCACATCAGAAAGAGTGCCGTTTTCCCGTGCACGATTCCAAGTGTGATATTTATGTTATACAACTGTTAAATTAACAATAAGTTAACATTGAAACTACTTTTTAGACACAATATTGTTAATATTGTTTGTTTTCCCTTTATTTCGCCGACTATAATTTCAAAATGAAACCGTAGCAGAGTCTCAATGCAACCGACAGCGATGATTTCTTGACTGAAATCCGCGTTTTGAACTAATCACTTGCTTCTTTCCCGAATGAATCAGCCGTTTGAACGAATCGGTTGAATGAATGACTCCCTTAACTCACTTATTAAGACAGTGATTTGCCGCTGCGGTTTTATATTTAAAGTACCCTTTAAATAAAACGTTAAAATTAGAAATCATTTCATATTTAAATATTGAATATTGATTTAAAAATATATATCTCATAGCTTTATTTATGCAGTTGTAAATGGAGTGTAAATCTATTAATGCCACTTCTGATGCCGCTTCTGTCACCTCTGCACTGCAAAGATGGATTTTGATTGAATGATTTAATTTGACTGGTAACAGTGGTACTGTATGATTATTATATAATTAAGTATTATTGTATAATTACTGTATAATTTAATTTGAATGATAGTATTTGACATTAAAGGTGATGCATAACTCTAACATCATAAAAATGTCCATATATAGGTGAAAATGCCCCTGAAAAAATCAATTTAAGGTGGCAAATATTGCCCCTTAATCAAAATATTAATTTCTGTCACTGCTGTGAACCGACCACTGCATAGAATATGAAAAATATGAATATCTTCGTGAGTCAGCTGTCAACAACAGACCTAAACCAGCCATGGCACCAGCACAAAAACACAATCAGTAAAATATCATCTAATTATTATCAACAAAACGTTGAAAATATCAAGATATATTTGTCAATACTGCACAGCCCTAATGTACGGTATTAATTTTGATTTCTTAAGGTCTTAAAAAGGTCTTAAAAAGCCTTAAATTTGACTTTCAAAAGTGTGCAGGAACCCTGTGTTCTCTCTAGGCTCCTACCTTACTGTAAAGAGTCATTTCTCATTACTTCCTATGATAAGCAAGCGTATACATCACAGAAAGTGCTGGAATATTTCAGTTCTCATCTTGTTATATTGCAGACCTTAATAAACACATCAACCTTACAAAACATTGATGAGTCAAACAAGTTCTGTAGCTTTACAAAAGGAATATGCTACAACTTCTGTAAAAATGAATGAATAAAATATAAAAAATAAAGTGTGCTCATGTCTTACAGCTTTTCGATGATGTTCACGTCGCGTGATTACGTCACTTCATAACGTTCCCATGGCAACAGGGGGAAACGGCGGCTCTCGTGTGAAGAAAACGCAACATTTTCAACTTTCTGCTCAGATATGTGTGACTTTTTTGCAATGAAAATGCGAGGATTATGAAATCATGCAAGCCCCGCATATTTTGCACGTAAATCTGCAATTTATGCGGCGAAAGTGCGGCGTATTTGAATACGACTTTGGCTGATTATGCACTGAATCATGCGATCGCATAATCGCGTTTTTCTGGAGGGACTGGTTGACTACAGTCAGTTGTCATTGTCAGACTGTAATGTGTCTTCTGTTAAAATAGGAGCCACTCGCAGTCACTTGGATTCTTTCAAGAAGCAAAGAGCTGCCAGAATCGACCATTATGTTATTGAAGTCAATAAATGCATTATACGACTGGAAAAGGTGAATGTTTGAGCACTGCGCTCCTAGTAATTTCATCATGCGTGATTGTTGATTTACTCTAGGCAAGTGTTAAGGCTCGTACACACCGGGACGAATATCGGCGTGCGTTATTCGTCAGCGTTTTTCAACGCGTTTTTTGTGTTCACACCCAAGCGATTTTCGCTGACGATGAGCCGAGTGAACATGCAAACTCATTCCCTGACATTAGATGGCGCTTAATGTAAAACAGAAATAGTCCTATTTTTGTAGTCGCTGTGGCGTTTGTCATATAGTTCCGACACCAACGAGACCAGCAGCTCTACATTCATCTTGCCTTGCATCTTCCTCGTCTTATTTCTTCCCGGCAGTGTAGACGCTACTTGGCGTATCTTCTTCGCCGTTACGTGTGTGTGCTCGGCAAGACCGTTTTGTCTTTGAGCGCCCCCAAGTTGTGTTTTACTGTAACTTCAGAAGCTCCAGACACGTGAGCAAAAGCGCCAATCTCATTGGTCGGATAGTTTTTGACGCGGCGCGTCAAACCAAAATAACGAACCCGAGGCGTTTTTTAAAAAATGACGCTTTTACGCGTGGCGTTTTACGCGTCGGTGTACACACTCACATTGGCGCCCTTTGTTTAGTCACGAGGCGTTAAACGTCGGCGAATAACGCGCGCGAAATTCGTCCCGGTGTGAACAGGCCTTTAAAATAACAAAACAGGGGCACTTTAAGCATGTTCAACACATGCACATGCAATGTGTGCTGGGAAAGCATTCGTGTCTTAAGGCCTGTTCACACCGGGACGAATTTCGCGTGCGATATTCGCCGACGTTTAACGCCTCGTGACTAAACAAAGGGCGCCAATGTGAGTGTGTACACCGACGCGTAAAACGCCACGCGTAAAAGCGTCATTTTTTTAAAAACGCCTCGGGTTAGTTTTTTTGGTTTAACGTGCCGCGTCAAAAACTATTCGACCAATGAGATTGGCGCTTTTGCTCACGTGTCTGGAGCTTCTGAAGTTACAGTAAAACACAACTTGGGGGCGCTCAAAGACAAAACGGTCTTGCCGAGCACACACACGTAACGGCGAAGAAGATGCGCCAAGTAGCGTCTACACTGCCGGGAAGAAATAAGACGAGGAAGATGCAAGGCAAGATGAATGTAGAGCTGCTGGTCTCGTTGGTGTCGGAACAGAAAGAACTATATGACAAACGCCACAGCGACTACAAAAATAGGACTATTTCTGTTTTACATTAAGCGCCATCTCATGTCAGGGAATGAATTGGCATGTTCACTCGGCTCATTGTCAGCGAAAATCGCTTGGGTGTGAACACAAAAAACGCGTTGAAAAACGCTGACGAATAACGCACGCCGATATTCGTCTCGGTGTGTACGGGGCTTAAAAGTTCCTAATACGTTTACATGCATCCAAGGTCAAACTATTTTTTTTTCATAACATGTATTGCACATCACCTCATTTCTCAAATCGAGTCTGAAAACGGTTTATTCAAAGATTCGCCCATACTATCCATCCTAAACAGTGTGTGAGATTAGAATAAGTGTGTCCCAAAGCATATTATGTTAAAAAGAGTGTGTCAGACGTCACTGGATGGTCCACTATTCCCACTGGATTTTCGAAGTGTGGATCCCTCACTATAACAGCTAATATTACCCACAACCCACTGCGCTTCAGAGGAGGAACTACAAACACCAGTAAAAACTGTTAAAAAAACTACAAAACATGGCGGATATGCGCAACCGAGGGTGAGAGGTTTAGATAAAGGTTTGAGTGACTAATCAAAGTTTAACCTGATAGAAAAATATTTATTTAATTTTATACATGTTATATTTCATCTGCAACAATAACAATGTGGACTTTTATAAAGATCCGTTTGGCCATTAACTTTTAAATGCATCATGCATTAATATGAGGAGTCTCCGCATGAAAGACCCGCGACTGCAGATCCACGAGCTTCTGCATTTCTCTCTATACGGTAGGATTAAATTTGGAGGATTTTACCTGTGACAAGATGATTGACAGGCCAGTTTACTGTGACAGAGAGCAACAGTTAAAGACACAATTGTATGACGTGATAGTGTGTCTCAAAGCTTGTCTACTCCTCTGCTACACACTCTAAAGTATCGACTTTTTCTTCATAAAAACAGTACATACTTTTAGGGCGTAGTGTTAGTTAGTTATAAAACTTTATTAATCCCTGTAAGGGGAAACTCATTCGCCACCATTCGCACATTACAGACACCACAGACAAATAAACATTAAAAAAACAACAGCAACAATCAATACAAGAAATTGCACAATTTCATAGGCGAATTGAGACACAGCATCAGTCACTCTAAACCCCGCCTCTCTGAGAGCTGCTCTGCTCTGATTGGTCAGACGGCCCAGTCTGTTGTGATTGGTCGACTGAATCTCAGCTCTTGATACACAGTGATACGAACAATAATGATGGCGTGGGCTTTACGGTACTAATTCCAGCGCGAGTCCTCATCTTTTTGACTTGCATCAAAGTGGATTCGCGTCTTCTCAACATGAACAACACAAACCAAACTCTTCTAGTCTCAGATAAACTACAGTGATTGAGAGCGGGGCAACGTGGACAGTATTTGCGGGCAGCCAATGAAGACCATATGCTTAAAGTCCCACTCCGATCATATTTTGAGCTATTTTTAAACATTCCCAGTGGTCTTTAAATTATGATTATGCCATTTTTAGCCAAAATCACAAAACCTGTGCCGTTTTCTGGGACTTCGCTTCAGCAGAGCGGCAGTTGCTCATTAGCAATTCGCCTCTGCGTTGTGGGCGGAGCCGTTGGCACGGAGACGCCCCTCCCCCTGCCCGTTGCTGAGAGCTCTGTCTCTCCCGCTAGCTTACATCCCCAATACCGGTGGGGCAACAGAATTATATACACGTTAATTATTATTATCCGAAGTTAATCAAAGTTATCACCGATCGCCGATCATTATTTCACTCCAGGACGTCGCGTGTGGAGACGCCCAGTGGAGTTACTACGTCACAACTCCAGTCTATTTTAGCCGGCATTTTAGCGTCTGCTACTGATTCACAGCCATTTGAATGTAGAAATACTCAGAAATACAACTTTGAGCTTATTTTTCTCAAGATATGTCCTCTAACATCAGAAAAATGCCACAAGAACATGTTAACACCTAGAAAAACATTATTTTCATCGGAGTGGGTCTTTAAATTAGGCAACATTACATGGGTTTGTAACAGGAAGTGAGACTGGAATTGCTGACGACTCGTTTCAGCAGTTCAGAATGGATTCTTTCTTTTAGGAGACAATCACTTTATTTGTCGTTCACTTTGATCTTTTACATTCACAAGCAGCTTTATTACACTGCATTAAAGATAATATTCGGAAAAAGCATAAAACGGACACTTTAATGCAATTGCAGCTGGGAAAGCAAAAGAAACTTGACTTGTGCTCACGTTTTGGAACATGCAACTTGCAATGCTAGAAGTGTCTGGATTCACATACACAAGCAGATTTTTTGGAGATCTTAAGTGTAATAAATTCAGAACTGCATTTAATGAAATTGACTACTTTTGCTTTTCATTTCCAGCTAACCTCCTTTGACAGAACCAGCATGGATGGAGCGCAAATAAGATGTATGTGAACAAAATATCAAAAATATGCTGTGTACCATTTTAGTAATAACTTAAAATATGACTATTATGCTTCTTTGTTTTTCCAGCACTTGAGAAATCGGTGGTATCGTGGGTGAATGACCAGGATGTGCCGTTTTGTCCCGATTGTGGAGGCAAATTCAACATCCGCAACCGCCGCCACCATTGCCGGCTCTGTGGGTCCATCATGTGCAGGAAGTGCACAGAGTTTCTGCCTCTGCCAATGGCATGTGAGTTACACGCGTTTAGATGTGTTAGATGAAACCCTCTGGTGCTCCTCATTTAGGGGTCACACTTATACGCCTCCTGGTCAAACGGGGCCGAACACCTCAAATGTAACTGTTTCCCCCCATTAAATTCAATGCAATGTCGTTCAATAATATTTTTTTATTTAATATTTTGAGGAAATGTTATTACTGAGTAATATGTATGCAGTAATTATGATCCATTTGTTTCCACAGTTTTGCGTCACACAATTTTTTTAAAATCAATTAACCCCTTCATTGCCGTTTGCGTGTTTTCTGCATTGTGCATGTTTTGTAGATTGTACCCACAAACATTCTCTGTATTTAAAAAAAAAAAAAAAGCATTAATTTCTATGCTGCTTATTTTTGATCGCGAGGAGAGATCAAGTGTGACTATTTTTAGCACCTTTTGAATTATGCCCACGATTTTTTTTTTCTCGTTCACCACTAAAGTCACTGCATGCCACACCATTCCCATGAAGTAAAACATTTTAAAAAATCAAAACGTACATTTTTTTCGGTCCAAAATGAACAAAGAGCACCAGAGAGTTAAATAGAAAATTCTATACATTAAGACTTTCTTTATTAACTTTTTGTTTTTTACTTTGCAAATCCTTTTTTTCCCAGAAATAGTGAGTTGCCTTTTTGTCCTCTGCCTGCATTTTCAGATACAAGCGTTCTAGCTGAAATGTTACTGATTTGAAAGAGTCTGTATAGTAGTGATGGAGGTCCAATAGACTTCCGTGAATCGGTTCTGTCAGGCAGTTCGTTTCACATGTGAGTAAAGTGACATATATCTGATGCAATAAAGTCACTGCCCCTGTATCTCTTGCTCCAAATTCAAGCAGTTCATAGTGAAAGCATTTTAGAGACCAAATTGTCCGTCTTTTGCTTAACTCTGGATTAAACCACATTTATAATGAGTTTTGTGAACCCAGTTAAAATACAATAGACTAGATACTTTAATTAAATCGCAACCTTCGGCGCACTGAGCTATATTTCAATTGACAGATGCTTTACAAAAGCAATGCACAAAACACAACGAGATCTTTATTATAATATATATAATTAATATACGTTATTGTGCGTACAAATATTTTAGATTTATTGTGAAACTGCTGCAGGACAGATTAGACTGTGGTCAGTTCAGTATTTTGTTGACTAATGAACTGCTTCTATCCAATTGGCAGACTGGCTGGAAGTTGGCAAAAGCAGACATTACTAGGCTTTAGAATAAATTACTCTAATGTCAGACACATTTTAGAGACCAGTTAAAGGATTAGTTCACTTCAGAATTAAATGTGAGTTTCAGTGCAGCTTCAAACTCTCGACACGATCCCAGCCGAGGAATAAGAGTCTTATCTAGACAAACCAGTGGACATTTTATAACAAAAATAAACATTTATATACTTTTTAACCACGCAAAGCCATTCATCTTCAATGTGACCCGGCGGCGAGGAGAGTTGAAGTCAGGACAGCTTTATGGTAATGAGCTATGTCCAGATTCCAGAGAACGCCGTCCTGTAAACTTTGGTTGACCACATTAGTTCCCATGCAAAATAAAGGAGAGGTTGATCATCTGAATTTGATAAGAAGGCACGCAACACTATTTATAGGCGACATTTGGCGCTAGAACGCTTGTTTTTCAGCGGGAATGAAAATTAGACTAACACTTAATCATGAACACAAAAGCCACACCACACAAATGGCTTTTGATTGGATTATTTAGTTAGCAAACATGTCACTACTTGTTAAGTTCTGTCCATCGATCAATTTCTATCTTTCACATTTAAAAGATTTCATGAGGTTCACATACCCTACTTGTGGTCAGTCTGCACAAACTATGATCAACATCTTTGTTTGCTTTGCGGGCCCTTTAAATGGTTTAAAAAAAAAAGACCAAGCATTCGCTCTACTTCAGAGCGTCCACAAATCTTTCTACGGCGTTGTTGGTAGGGCGGCGGTGTGAACGCAGTGTTACGTAATCACGTTGAAAGGTCAGATGATAACCTGACGTAGGCGGAAAACTCGCCATTTATTTATTTTTTATTTCTGTAAATGTCGTTTGACTTAGTCTTTGCACGTTCTCAGACATTGGGTCTGTACTTACGCCTACGTCACGCTTGACCTTCCAACGTGATTACGTAATGTGTGGCACATCACAGCGAGTGCAAGACGAGCGTTTGTGGTTATAAAGTATATAAATGTGTATTTTGTTATAAATGTCCGCTGGTTTGTCTAGATGAGACTCTTATTCCTCGGCTGGATCGTGTCGAGACTTTGAAGCTGCACTGAAACTCACATCTGGACCTTCGACCCGTTGGACCCCATTGAAGACACTATATGGAGAAACATCCTGGAGTGTGTTCCTCAAAAACCTTTATTTCTTTTCCACTGAAGAAAGAAAGACATGAACATCTTGGATGACGTGGGGGAGAGTAAACTATCAGGAGATTTTAATCCTGAAGTGAACTACTCCTTTAATTGACTGACTCGGGACGTGAACTTTTTCAAGTGATTCAGTGTGATTTAGTACGTTTTAACTGCTAGTAGGTCATCCTGAGCATGTAGGTCAGAGTTTCAGAACGTACTGTAATGTACTTTTAGATAAATTAACCAGTGGATCCAGGGAGGCGCTGTGGGCTCCTGGCCAGACTGGCTCTCCAGGCCCGGTGACCCAGCAAACTCTTCGCCGCGGGTCCATTAACAGCATCTCGTCCGTCACCTCTGTGTTGGAGGAGAAAGATGAGGACCGCGTGCGCTGTTGCCATCACTGCATGGACGCGCTGCTCCGGTACCAGCGAAAACTGGAGGAAAAAGACCACGTGCCGGATATCGTCAAACTCTACGAGGTACAAACTTATAATGTCCTTTTCACAAGATGTAAAAATAAGTCTCTGATGTCCCCAGAGTGTGTATGTGAAGTTTTAGCTCAAAATACCCCACAGATAATTTTATATAGCATGTTAAAATTGTCACTTTTTGAGGGTGTGCAAAAACATGCTGTTTTTGTGTCTGTCCCTTTAAATGCAAATGAGCTGCTGCTCCCGGCGCAGGGGGTGGAGCTTCAAGAGCTTGTGTGTGTGTGTGTGTGTGTGTGTGTGTGTGTGTGTTAGCAGCTCTGATTACCTCACACACACACATACACACACACACACACACACACTGAACATTTCAAAAACTTTTAGCCTTTTATGTTCAAACCGGAGTCGGACAAAGATGGAGAGACTCTAGAAGTGGCAACATGTAGAGCAACAGGACATTTCTGAATGGTTAGTTGATGAATTTATGTATCTGATGTGGAGTTAACTATCTTCTAGTCATTGATTAGCATATTCTGTCATGATAATTTATAAATCGCGTTCCCGGGGGCGGGGTTTATGTAAATGTTTGGGTTAGTGATGTCACTAACTCCGTAAAGAAGCTTGTTGTAGTCCTTAAAAAGTAATTTCTGTAAAAAAACTAAACAGATGTTGTATTTTACACACTAACTAAAGTTAGAAAAGTGAAATCATAATCAACCACCTCTTTAAACTTTTTTTTGTTGAACATTGGATCAAGTAAATATAATTGAAATACATTAAACACAGAGTAAACATACATTTGTCAAATGTTACAAGTGTGTTAATTAGAAGTTAATATGGTTTTGGAGACCACATCTTCTTGATGTTCTCCATGGGAAAAAATAAAACATGGCGTTTTCAGCCCAGATATCCATGAGACTTTAAAAACATCACTTTCTTTCTTCTTTTTTCATCTGAATGATCCTTAGGTGCGTCCCTATTCGCCTACTTATGCACTGTTCGACGCCGGTTTGTAGTAAATAGTGCGAGAGGTGTGTTCACACTGAAAATTACAAATAGAAAAAGTGCACTTTAAATACCCTGAAAAAATGAAGTGTAAGATGTTTGACACTTCATGCACTCAAATATTCTGTCATCATTTACTCACCCTTATATTGTTCCAAACACTAGAGACGTTCGTTCATCTTCGAAACACAAATGACGATATTTTTAATAAAATCTGAGCCAGTTCTGTACTTTCCCTTGACAGCTACGCAACTACCACTTAGACGCCCTAAACGTTCATAAAGAGATCGTGAAACTAATCCTCATGAATTGAGCGGTTTAGTCCAAAACTTCTGAGGAGACTCGATCGCTTAATATGATGAACAGATTTAATTTAGACATTTATTCACATATAAACATTGAAAATACCAGTAGATGCGATTATACTTAGTGCAAGGTCATTCAGTGTAAATAGCATCTATCGCCCAAACAACCCTCTACACACACACTGCAATAGAATTGACATTGACTACAGGTGAAACTCGAAAAATTTGAATATAAGTTCATGTATTTCAGTAATTCAACTTAAAAGGTGAAACTAAAATATTTAGTATATATAACTATATACATATGCATGATGATACTTTTCAGAGGGCCGATATTTCTGTATTTAAAATCCTTTTTTAAATTGATTTCATGTAATATTCTAATTTTCTGAGATTTTGAATTTGGGGTTTTCATAAGCTGTAAGCCATAATCATCACAATTATAACTTTTGCACGATATTCAAATTTTTCGAGTTTCACCTGTATACAGCTAATTATGATTCTATAGCCAGTGTGTGCGTAGAGGGTTGTTTGTTAAAGCGTTATGAAGATATAAGTGTATTAAATGGCCTGGCATCACTTGTTTTTCACTTATTGGGCTGTAACTTCTGGAAGAAATTTCCAAACTTAACAAAACTTCCATCCTGAGGACACAAAGTTGCATCAACAACTGGAAAAAAAATGGTATACATCTTCTTTGGTGGATGTCACACTCACAGTCACATCATATGCTCTAATATGACTTGGATACATAAATAAACACGATCAAATTTCGGCAGCTAAAAACTTTATGAAAATTAACATTCATTGTGTACAAATGAGTGAACCAAATTTTATGAAAATCGTCCAGTTGGTCCTGTAATATGTAACTTTACATTTTTGCTAATAACTGCAACTGTGCATGATCGAATCCGATTTCTAGTTTCTTCCGAATCCTTGCTTTAGTCCTTCTTAGGTTTATATATATATATATCTAATCATCCACATCGGTGTTTGGACCCTGATGATTTCCGCATGCAGTTATATATGTATTGTTGTGATTGTATATGTTAATATACGTCCCCACAGTACTGTGTGTGTTTGCTGTGCAGAGGTTAAGGACGTGCATGGAGAAAGTTGAAGCGAAGGCTCCAGAGTACACACGCATGGCCGAGTCGCTCAAGTAAGCCCTCCACTTCAGCGACACACACAGCACTACTCATGCGCATCAGTTCACTCATCTAATCATCTCATAATCTTACAGAGAACGCAGGAGTGAGGGGGCACAAACTAACGCACGCTAGTTGTAACACTCGTTTTAAATACTTCCACACATGCCGGCATGACGAAACTTAGTGTATTTACTAGTTGCCGTATCAACACTATATAGAAAAAAAACTGCCAAAATGCAGAAATCTTTGAAGGATATCACTGAACATTTATTTAACCATAGCAAAAGTACACTACATTTCTTACTTGTGTTAATTTTTCATCTCTGTTTTTGTGTGTTTATTTAACATTAGTCAAATCGAATCATACTTTAATCTTATATCTGTTATTGAACAGTTGAGAGAGTTGTTTAATGCTGATCTAACAGCAGAACACACTCGCCGGGTTTAAACCCCAGTTGCTCAGGCGGGGCATGTTGTCACACTGCGTTACAATGAACCCCTATTAGAACTATGATATTCTATACTTTTATCAATTCTATTGAGAAACCATGAGAAAAAGGTGAATAAAGACTGAGAGGCAATGTTCAGGAATTATTATACAGGTCCTTCTCAAAAATTAGCATATTGTGATAAAGTTCATTATTTTCCATAATGTAATGATAAAAATTAAACTTTCATATATTTTAGATTCATTGCACACCAACTGAAATATTTCAGGTCTTTTATTGTTTTAATACTGATGATTTTGGCATACAGCTCATGAAAACCCAAAATTCCTGTCTAAAAAAATTAGCATATCATGAAAAGGGTCTCTATACGAGCTATTAACCTAATCATCTGAATCAACTAATTAACTCTAAACACCTGCAAAAGATTCCTGAGGCTTTTAAAAAACTCCCAGCCTGTTTCATTACTCAAAACCGCAATCATGGGTAAGACTGCCGACCTGACTGCTGTCCAGAAGGCCATCATTGACACCCTCAAGCAAGAGGGTAAGACAGAAAGAAATTTCTGAACAAATAGGCTGTTCCCAGAGTGCTGTATCAAGGCACCTCAGTGGGAAGTCAGTGGGAAGGAAAAAGTGTGGCAAAAAAACGCTGCACAACGAGAAGAGGTGACCGGACCCTGAGGAAGATTGTGGAGAAGGACCGATTCCAGAGCTTGGGGGACCTGCGGAAGCAGTGGACTGAGTCTGGAGTAGAAACATCCAGAGCCACCGTGCACAGGCGTGTGCAGGACATGGGCTACAGGTGCCGCATTCCCCAGGTCAAGCCACTTTTGAACCAGAAACAGCGGCAGAAGCGCCTGACCTGGGCTACAGAGAAGCAGCACTGGACTGTTGCTCAGTTTTGCATGTCATTCGGAAATCAAGGTGCCAGAGTTTGGAGGAAGACTGGGGAGAAGGAAATGCCAAAATGCCTGAAGTCCAGTGTCAAGCACCCACAGTCAGTGATGGTCTGGGGTGCCATGTCAGCTGCTGGTGTTTGTCCACTGTGTTTTATCAAGGGCAGGGTCAATGCAGCTAGCTATCAGGAGATTTTGGAGCACTTCATGCTTCCATCTGCTGAAAAGCTTTATGGAGATGAAGATTTCATTTTTCAGCATGACCTGGCACCTGCTCACAGTGCCAAAACCACTGGTAAATATTTTACTGACCATGGTATTACTGTGCTCAATTGGCCTGCCAACTCTCCTGACCTGAACCCCATAGAGAATCTGCGGGATATTGTGAAGAGAAAGTTGAGAGACGCAAGACCCAACACTCTGGATGAGCTTAAGGCCGCTATCGAAGCATCCTGGGCCTCCATAACACCTCAGCAGTGCCACAGGCTGATTGCCTCCATGCCACGCCGCATTGAAGCAGTCATTTCTGCAAAAGGATTCCCGACCAAGTATTGAGTGCATAACTGAACATAATTATTTGAAGGTTGACTTTTTTTTTGTATTAAAAATAGGGCTGCACGTTTCCAAGTTTTTCATTAACCGTTAACCGAGGCCCTTAGCGGTTAATACTCGGTTAACCATAGTGTGCGCGCCGCAACCCCGAGATACAGACACACGCGAAAGGGGTAGTTCATTTTTAACACCTTTAATAACTGGTTGGACCACATTTAAAACAAAATTAATTTATAGAAATAAAACGCAGTGGTAAGGACAGAGCAGGTATGTTGTGTTCATACCGAATGCGAATTTAATTATATGCGCGAGTGATTACATACAAAGTCAATGCAAAGACGCATCATTCGCGCCGGGCGTTGCGAATGACGCGAATTGGGCGACGCGTTTGCCGCGAATGTCTTCCGCGCAAGTTGAAAATTTGAACTCGAGCGAATGTTCAAGCTAGACGCGATAGACGTGTAACGTTATTTGACGCTCTATTCGCGTTCGGTGTGAACACACAAGACCATAATGATGCCCGGGTGTTGGCTGTTGAGATGGTACAACAACGAGGTTGTACTTGAAGTATATCTAACCTTATATCTCATATTATATCTCATTGCAATACTTGCATTTTGCCCCGTCATTCTCGATTTTAAAGTGCTCCCACGCTGTGCTTTTCTTTGCCCGCTTCATATTAGAAAACTGGTCATGAGTCATGACTACTTCTTCTTGTGGACATTACAAATGTATGGGAGCGCTCTGGCGGTCTCTGGTGGTGCAAAAATGTATTACAACTAAATTCAATGCACGCCATTGACGCCACTTAACCGAGCAAAATGTTTCACTCGGTTAAGCAATTTTTAACGGTTAATCGTTAAAACACTTCTTTTATTGGTCGGATGAAATATGCTAATTTTTTGAGACAGGAATTTTGGGTTTTCATGAGCTGTATGCCAAAATCATCAGTATTAAAGGGGTGGTTTACTGCTTTTTTTCTTTGCATGATTGTGTTTATGGGGTGCAATATAACATGTATTCGTGGTTTTTCTTTTTTAAAAAGTCTTATTTTTCATAAATTTCACCTTTATTGTAAGCCTCTTTCTCCTCTGTCATTTGAACGACCGGTTGACTTCCTGATTCTATGAAACCACTCCCTCAGAAACAGGCAGTGGGCTCAGATTGGTTAGTTTGGGCCGGTGTGTTGTAATTGGCTAAACTGCGTAGCGCATGTTGTCCGGAACCGTCACGCCCCTTACCTTTACGGGCGTGAGTTTCTTGTGCTCCGGTTAATGTAAATAATGGTGTCGATACTGCCGTATCAGTTTGAGCCCGAATCAGACCCAGAAAGCGACCTTGAAGAGTCAAACAGAACCTCCCCAAACACGGCTGTTACAAAACGTTTCTGAATGGTACGTTTTTGAATTATTATTATTATTCTATTTTTCTATTATTACATAAGAAGTTTGGTACCCTGTTATATTTGAAAATGCTACTGCTGCTTGTTAGCTTTTTTAGATACGTTTTTATCTTGATTAAACATTTAATACAAATGATTACATGAGTAATACAGTTTTTAGCAACAGTTTTTTTGTGGAATCCGGCATTGAATTGTTGGAGATTCTGGAAGCTGTCTTCAGTGAAATGTGGCGGACAAAGAGCTAAATTACGATTGTAATTGTCAGAAGCATTATCAAACATAAATTGTAGCCATTGTTGACGAACTACAGCGTCCGTAGGAAGCCCAAACTCACAAGACCTGACAGCTGGATGAAAATAACACACTTTCGACAGCATGGCTAGCTCTCCCCTGTAACTCTTCCTCTTCGGCAAAGCCGCAGAAATATGGCCATGCCCTTTTTTGCGTATTGCGGAGGGAGGGTTGATGCAAATGTATGGGTTAGTGACGTCTAAAACCCAGCTGTAGTCCCAATCGAGTCATTTTTGTAGGCATTTACACTTCCTGATTTTTAAAAGACGATATCTCTGCTTACATTGAACTTTCAGCGCTGCAACTTTGCAGATACTGTTCATGCACCAACAGCAACATTACACACTATTTAAAATGAAAAAAGTGAAATCGCAATCAACCACCCCTTTAAAACAATAAAAGACCTGAAATATTTCAGTTGGTGTGCAATGAATCTAAAATATATGAAAGTTTAATTTTTATCATTACATTATGGAAAATAATGAACTTTATCACAATATGCTAATTTTTTGAGAAGGACCTGTATGTTTCGAACTATGCTGTATAGCTGTGTTTTGCATTGTGCTTGTTGTCAAACTCAAAAATTAGTTTATTTTCATTATTAAAAAATGCCATTATTTTATATGAAAAAGTTACTAATTGTATTGAATTGAGAAAATATTTTAGTTTGTCTTGTATATTTTTTTGGATTAGATCAGATAACACATTAATCTGTCATAAAGTCATGTTATAATGTACTATGGGGCATGTTGTCTCACTTCCGTTCAAAGTGAAACAAAACCACATAATTGTACTTAGACGTGAGAAATTAATGTGGGAATAAATAAATACTCTAAACCCCAAGTGAATTTACACAAACTGAGAAAGTCCAGACGTGTTAGGTTGTGCCCCGCTCTTCCCTGCATATAAAGTGTATATTTCGATATAATTGCTTTCCTCTTCCTCCTCCGCAGTGCTGGCGAGACGGCCTATAGTCTGGAGAACGCTGCCGGTCTGAGGATGGAGATCCAGAAATACTACGAGCTCATTGACGTTCTGAGGTAGACTGAAGACACACACTGTGCCATAGGGCTGTCACTTTTGTAGAAAAATCCTGTTCGATTTTTGAGACACAAGTGTTCATTGAATCGATTGTAAAATCCATTTTCCATGTCTAAAGACGTTTCCATTTTCAACACCAAATACAGGCAAATCCACGGAGACCTAACAGGCATTAGGACGAGTGTAAAGAGGGCGCTTGAGACGCACGAGTCAGCAATATTTCTGATGATTTATTGGCGTGAAGTTTCAGCACAATGACAAACAGGAGCGCAACATTCAGGGATTGAGATTAACTCCTTCGACCCGCCAAACACGGGTAAAAATGAACTTTGGGGGTAAACGCTGTCAAATCACGAGCCAATCTGTCGTGTTTCTGTGTTTACTCACTTTGCTGGGGAAGTTCCTGTAAGACAAATCTGCGCGGATTTAGCGCAAGTACGCAACTCGTGGTCCTCATGATATATTAAATACAGCGTATCGCACAGAATCTGCGCATTTCTGGCTTACTTGAACACACTCACACACACACGTCACTACGCAACAAATAACGGCGCGCTTGTTCACTTGCATTGAAGTAATAGTGATTATTAAAAAGCATTTGGTGAACAGAAAAGACATTGTTATTGTCCAGCATCCCACATGTTCTGTGTGCTGTATTGATCTGTCCACCTAAAACACACTTTTGGTTAAAAAAACAACAACAAATAACCAGTGTTGGGCAAGTTACTTTTAAAAAGTAATTAGTTACAGTTACTTCTTCCAAAAAGTAACTAAATTAGTTACTCAGTTACAAATTTTAAAAGTAACTAGTTACTTAAGAAAGTAACTATTGCGTTACTTTCAAGTAAAATTAAATTTTAAATGCTCAAATGTGACCCGACCTCTACCCCTCTTTGACGGAACTTAAAATACATGTGCATGTTCAATTATTTATGATAAATCTGAATATTATAATGAAATGGACACTTAATACAATACATTATTAACAGAAACATGTAACATTGTACACACATCTCTTGTTGACTGACTGGCTTGTGTTGTTCCTTGTGTGTCGTGTCCTGTCCGACTATGCGTTATGATGGGTCGTTCGCAATTCATGAGCGTTAGCCGTTAGTGATGATGGGTCGTTCGCAATTCATAAGCGTTAGCCGTTAGTGATGATGGGTCGTTCGCGAATGAGCGTTAGTGATGATGGATCGACTCGTTCGCGAATGAGCTTTTGATGGGTCGTTCGCGATACGCGAATGAGCCGACTCTAAGAGCCGGCTCTTTTAGGTGAACGTCGGGAGCTGGCTCGCATATCTGAAGAGCCGACTCAATTATTTAATTTCTAAAGGCTAAATTTGTAAAAAAAATAATGTAATACAAATTGAAATATTATAGTCAAAGTCATTTAAAGAGCCGTTTGTGAGCCAAAAGAGCCGTCTCTTTTCAGTGAGCTGAGTAAAAAGAGCCGAATGCCCCATCACTACTATGCGTGCTTTCGAACACCCGCCCAACTCTACCTCTGATTGGCTTACAATGACATTTTACTCTACCTCAGCCAATCGTCAGCATTTATGCGCTTGACTCGTGCTCTGCCCAAGGAAGAACAGTAAAAAAAGTATTTGCCTCTCGCTCAGAGATCTAGTTCGTCTGATGAAAAAAAAAAACAGCTTCATCAGTTATAGTAACGCGCCGCATTTTTTGGCAGTAACGGTAACGCCGTAATTAAGATGAGAAGAGTAATCAATTAGATTACTCGTTACTGTAAAAAGTAATGCCGTTAGTAACGCCGTTATTCCCATCACTGCAAATAACGCTGTTAAAATCGATTCCCTATTTTCGTTTTCGAAACTTGTGTTGGTTGGTCCGATCGTTTGCTCAATCGATTTTCGAGCGTAAAGTGACAGCCCTACTGTACCATGTGATGTATGTATCTAAAGCAGGATTCTCAGAGTGCATTTGTGTGTGTTTCTGTTGGCATTAGTAAGAAGATCCTCACGCTGGGCCTGAAAGACGAGGTCCAGCCTCACCCGAAAGCCCTGCAGCTGCAGAGGATGGTGCGATACACAGCCACGCTCTTCATTCAGGTGCGCCACACAACATCTGCAGCGCAGTGACTGACGTACATCATCATAAGAGTTACACTATCATCCGGTTTGCTTATCTTAGGGCGTTGGCGTTTTAGACCTATAGTCCTATAGATTGTTTGTTTTGTTCCGAAACTGGGACTTAATTTGTTATAATAGGTGCAATTCCATTACAGATTGGCGCAAAACTTTTGCGATTTTTTTTCTAAATATGACTAAATATCAGCCCAAAAATCATGGCAACGGGCGTTGGTAGGTTTATATATATATATGAGACACCGCACTAGACATTATTATTATTATTAATGGAAGGAGACGTGTGTGTGTGTGTGTGTGTGTGTGTGTGTGTGTTATCCAGCATTGATGGCAAGGAAAGAGCCGTATATGAACGGCACATATGAGGAGTTTCTCTGTGTTTCTCCTCATTTCTGCTCCGAGGTCTTGATCGCTTTTTTGACGTGTTTCCATTGTGCGTATTTTCAATTCGCAATTTGAAGGGTAATAGAAACACGGCTTATGTTGCATTTTCTTCTTGGTTCGGTTCGCTTTCACAAGGCAACCTTTCAAAGCATACCGAAATGTGTTCACGAAATTCACATGCGAGTGCAAACAGGGTTCCCACGGGTCCTTGAAAGTTAGTGAATCTGAAAAAAAAAAATCAAGGCCCTGGAAAGTTTTTGAAACAAATGTAATAAATACAGGTCCTTGAAAGTGCTTGAATTTATTTTGTGCAAGAAGTTTACTGGAAAAACTTCCATATTATTCCCTCCGGTCCGCTAATGTGTTATTTCGCCAACACTTCGTGGCCTATGCACACTAGCTTGCTTGATCTACGTTAGTTACGGGCATTTACACGTTAGGTTAAAGGAGTAGTTCACTTTAAAATGAAAGTTCGCCCATTATTTACTCCCGCTCAAGCCATCCTAGGCTTTATATAGGGAGCTGTACAGTTGCTTACAGAACATTACACAAGTTATTATTTTTTAACGCCTCCAGGTGGCACTTTTCTCACTTTAAAAAATGGATTTTAAAGGCCTCCACTCTATTTTAATGTGAAATATTGCATTTATATAAAAAAAAAAAAAATTGTTCTAATGGAAAAAATAGCTCATAAAAATTGTATAAATGTTGCATAAAATCCCTTCAAAATTCTAAATAATAATCAAAAAATATTATTGAACAAAAATAATTACATTGGTTTTCCTGAAGAAAAAAAAAAGAAATTGCATTTCAAGGCTTCGGTCACTTTTGACCGCGACGGAGCCAAGTGTGACCCCTAAATGAAGAGGACCAGAGGGTTAAGTCCTTGAATTTGAGGGTATTGGACCTGGAAAGTCCTTGAAAGGTCCTTGAATTTGAGGTTAAGGCCCTTGCACACGGAGTCCGAAATTCGCGTCTGTAATTTTCGCACGTTAAAAAATAAATACGACCTCACGTTATGTAAATCACGCTTGCACACGGCCTCCGAAACGTTCGTCCGTCATAAAGAAATTCAGATCGGGTTCGATTTTCTGCGTTTTTCGCATCCGTATTTGAATGGAGTTTGACATTTCAGAGCCACCGAATCACGAATACGAAAAAAAACGCGTACGAAAATTTCGGACTCAGTGTGCAAGCGCCTTACCCAAGGTGTGGGAACCCTGAGCAACCGTCCTCTTATACCCCTTTTCCACCAACGCATTTTGAGAGCCGGTTCGGAGCCGGTGCCTGCGCGCGAACCAGTTCTTTGTGTTTCGACAGCCAAAGAACCGGTTCTCGGCCAGGAAAACTGGTTCCAAAGCGGCACCAACTCCTTGCTGGACTAGAACCGTTCTTTTACCACGTCATGCTTACCTCGGGGACTGGGGGCGGGTTTAGATAACATATTTTCTGACATAATATAGGATCGCAAAGCCAGGAGAAACATTTGCAGAAACACGATGTAGTCCGCCATTGTAATTGTTATGCTTGAAGTTGGCGCAAGCGTTTCTAGTTTATTTTTTTTATTTTTTTATTGAAAACGTTATGTAAGCAAAGGAGAAAACAGTCACAATATAGAACAAATAAATGGAAAGAAAAAAAAGACACAAGACAGGAGTACACAACTAATCAGAAAAGATTAAAAGACTTACATATTTCAATTGTTTTTAAAGCCTTCTTGGTTCACGAGTTAGAGATAATCCCAAAGTAATGTTGTAGCCTACTTGCAAGCGTTTCTAGCTAAGATGTATGGTGACGTACACAGTGATGTAACGACGTCGTTCGCTGGGCGCTCTAGTCAGTGGAAAAACAAACAGGTTCTGAGAAGGTTTGCAAGTTGAACCAACTCCAAACCAACTTTGAACCAGCACCGGTTCCGAACCAGTTCGTTTTTGGTGGAAAAGGGGTATTATTGGTCAGAGTTTCCTCTGCGTCATCCATCAAGATGATTGACAAGTTTACTTCATGAGCTTATTGTGGCTTTATTTGTAACTGTCGAGACACATGCAAACACTATGCGAATGTAGCCGTCATTCCCGCTGTTAAATTATATTCTACATTCATATTACAGTAACACTGCAGCAAACGCGCTCTCTCTGGATCTCTAGAGGTCATCAGTGTCGAGACGCACACACTATGAATATTATAATGCAGAAATCAAGGCATCACCGGGTGCACTTTTGAAATGGCTAATTTGAATAAATTTGATTATTTTGTCCTCTGTAAACACTTTTCAGTACAGCTATGGCAGTACTGAAAAAAAATTAATACAATTTTCATGATCCGTCCTATATATTTTTAAATGTTAAACATCTCGCAGGTTTAGGAACGAATGGGTGCAACGACACACAATGGTAGAAGCTCACATTCAACACTTGCTTTCTTGCATCCCATAGGAGAAACTGTTGGGTCTGACGTCCCTCCCCACCAAGGAGAAACACGAGGAGCTTAAAGGGAAGAGAAGAGAGGAGCTGGAGAAAAGAGCTCAGCAGGAGAGACAGGTGACAGAACAGCATCTGATAATCTTAATCATACAGTTTGCTGATCAGGTTTTCTTTATTTGAAAACTTTAAAATTGGTTGAGCTTCTCTATTGCGTATTTCCGAGTGAAACGCTTCTGGAACAAATGTTGGGCGGGGCTTGATTTTGATTGGATGGTTGTGGTTTGCTATTGGCTGATGTCATGTGAGTGACAGGTTATAGCCCCGCCCTCATCAGAGAAGAGATGCTGCAAGAGGAACTTATTCTGATTCAACATTACCAGGAACATTAATACAAGTAGGATGTACATGGATAAATAATTTCTAATAAATACTACAATATTCCATAAAAACAAGAAATGTCCATTTTGATATAATGCACTTAAGTGATACTATTTTTTAACCTTTTTGAATCATGTCCAGGATTTCTTTTTTGTCTTCACACTGCAAGTGCCAAAACCTTTACCAAGTTTCACACCATTCCAATGAAGTCAAAAATGACAAGAGAACCCGAATAGTTCACTTCAAAATGAAAATCCTGTCATCATTTACTCTCCCTCAAGTCTTTCAAACCTGCATGAGTTTCTCTCTTCTGCTGAACGCAGAAGAAGATATTTTGAGGAACGTTGGCAACCAAAGAGTTGATGGACCCCATTGACTTCCATAGTACTCAATGGAGTCCATCAACTCTTTGGTTGCCGACGTCACAGATATCCATAATAAAGGCTAGATGTCTCTATCTTCATCACCGGCGGCCATCTTGTCACAGGCAAGCTTTCTGGCGGGCTCTGTGGTGCCTGATGTAAGATGAGCGATCGGCACGAACACAAATACTCTCATCTCGTTGAAATCTTGACGGATTTACAAACGGTTTGGTTTCTTACAAACGTTATTAACGTGGCTATAATTCTGGATGATTATTTATTATTCATAAGTGTGCAGTGTCATAACTACTTCTCTGACGTTTATAACAAACCAAACCGTTTGAAAATCAGTAGAAAATTGAGCAAGTTATGGTTATTTAAAAAGTACATGCACCATTAAAACACAATGTTACGAGTGAGCGAGCTGCCTGTGACAAGATGGCCGCCAGGTGCGGACGTCTACCTCCATTTGCCAGCAGCGCGGACGAGACATCTAGCCTTTATCATGTATATCTATGGCTGACATTCCTCAAAATATCTTCTCTAGATTGACATAAAAAAAGTTACATTTTTCTTCTCACTAACACTAATGCTGTTCATGTGCGCATTGTAACTCTATTCTTGTCTTGCGTAACATAGGCAGGCTTAGAGGCACAGAAGCGTCGGTTGGAAAACGAGAAGAACCGTCCGGCCCTCAGCACAAACGGTGATGTTCCCGGTCCACGCATGACCAAAGCTGCCGGCTGGCTCCCGCAGTCAGACACGCTACACACTCGCTCGGAGCTGGACGACCCGCTTCTGCAGCAGATCAACAACATCGAGTCGTTCTTACGCCAGGCTCGCTCCGCAAACCGCAGCGATGAGGTGGCCATGCTGGAGGAGAACCTCAGGCAACTTCAGGACGAGTTCGACACTCAGCAGACCAGTCGAGCCATCAGACTCTCACAGAGACTGGCCGAGGAGACCGACCTCCAGCAGAGCCAGATCCAACACCTACAGCAGAGAGAGCTGGAGCACAGAACACACACTAAAACCTCCTCCTTAGACTTCAGAGACAGAGAACCGAACCAGAGGAGAGAAGACGAGGAAGACGAGCGCTCCGTCGGAAGCCCAAATCTGCTGGACACACACACAGAAAAACACACACCAGCCAGAAACCCGTTCGAAGAGGTCGAGGAAAAACCTTCAAACTCTCCGACGGCCAATGGAAAGAAACAGTACAACCCATTTGAGGATGAGGATGATGATGAAGAGGAAGATGCTGGGAAAGCAAAGTCGCCTAGAAATCCCTTTGAAGAAGATTGTGAAGATGGGAACCCTTTCAAAGAGGTTTCCGACCAGATTCCAGCCGCGTCAAACAACCCGTTCGATGAAGAAGATGATGACGACACGATTGAGGAAGAGCTGCTGCTGCAACAGATTGACAATATCCGAGCGTATATATTCGACGCTAAGCTGAGCGGACGTTCGGATGAGGTGGAGCTTCTGTCGGAGAACCTGAAGGAGCTGCAACACACACTACAACAGCAGAAGAGAAAACAGTAGCGGACCACGCTAACTCATCAAAAAAAACTTTGTTTTCAGTTACAAACACATGGAAGCTTGTTTCCGACACAATGAAAAATTAAAAAGGTAATTGCGACTTTTTCCACACAATTCTGACTTTAACTTGTAATTCTGACGTTCTAACACACAATTGCGAGTTTATATATTGCAATTCTGACTATCTCGCAATTCTGACTTTATAACTCGCTATTCTGACGTTCTAACAAACAATTCTGACTTTATAACTCGCAAATCTGACGTTCTAACACACAATTGCGAGTTTATATCTTGCAATTCTGACTATCACACAATTCTGACGTTCTAACACACAATTCTGACTTTTAACACGCAATTCTGACGTTCTAACACACAATTCTGACTTTTAACACACAATTTTGACTTTATACCACGCAATTGTGACTTAATAACATAATTGCGATAATTGTTATAAAGTCGCAATTTCGTGATATAAAGTCAGAATTGCGAGATATAAACTCACAATTGTGTGTTAGAACGTCAGAATTGCGTGATATTAAACTTGCAATTGTGTGTTAGAAAGTCAGAATTGTGTGAGTCACATTTGCGTGTTAGAAAGTCAGAATTGCGAGAAACTCGCAATTGCGAGAAAGTGTCAGAATTGCAAGATATAAACTCACAATTGTGTGTTAAAGTCAGAATTGTGTGATATTAAACTCGCAATTGCGTGTTATAAAGTCAGAATTGTGTGATATAGACACATTTGCGTGTTATTAAGACAGAATTGCGAGATATAAATTCGCAATTGCGAGAAAAAGTGTCAGAATTGCGAGATTGTAAACTTGCAATTATCTTTTAAAATGTTTTATTCCGTGTTTGCGGAAACAAGCTTCCATACAAACATGCTATTGATGCACTAGACAAAAATGTAAAACAAATGAGAAGTTTCTGTGCAAGAGAAAAAACAAAACAAATTGCATCAACTTAAATTTGCAATTTAATAAATTCCAAAAAAAAAAGCATCGGTAAATATTCAAATTCATGTTTTATGCGAACAAAACCTTAGTGTTATTTTCCATTTAATAGGTAGTTTCGAGTCATATAAATGGATAGGTTTTTATGCAAAGTAGCTTGAAGTATCTAAAGTAAAGCTTTTTCTGTTCAACAAAGTCAGTATTTCGTGCACAAAGCTACTTTTATTTCAGTTTTTCTTGAATACCTGCAACTTTGAATCATTTCCTCATGTTATTGATCTAATGGATAAGCACTAAATAGAAATCCTGTGTTTTTATCTCGGAAACATCGGTGACTGATGGCAATTCTGTTTCTTTGTTGTTTGGAACACAAAATTCGATTTGTCTAATCAATGTCGGATATCTTGGATGTATGCAATTTAGATCTGTTTATAACTTTTTCTATTTATATACTGATTAGTGTTGCACCTAAATGATTTAGCACTTATACGGACACATCCAGAAAGCTAGTGTAGAACTTGTTTAGAGTCATCAGAACTTCCTTCTCCTCCATTGAAATGCTTAAATCTCCTGTTTTACTTGCATGTTTTAATAATCCTTCATTGAATTGTTCACTGTACCCATCACAAACACATCAACGCTGTCGTGTATTAACTTACATGAACTCGTCAAGGCTTTCCTCTACAGAATATACACTGTATTTGAAGAGCTGAAGAGAACAGATTTATTTCTTTTGGTTTTCCGGTATGAGAACACACTAGCATAGAGTTGCTGAATGAAATGCTTTTTGTGATTACTCATGTTTTTTTGTCAACAGAGCAACAGATTTATGAGTAATATTAACAACCTGTCCATTTGCTTTTGGATAATGTTGTGTGTTTACACCGAGCAATATCAGGAATCATAAATGTAACACTAATAATTAATAAAACCGACTGAATGAAAATGTGGTCAGAAAGTTGTTGTTTTTTTGCAAGTTTAAGTCTGCTTTCCATAGTCCATCACAGTTTAGCTAATGAGTTAAACTTACAAAATCATGTTCACTCACCAATTAAAGTGTAATTATTACATCAAATCAATCACTGCTGATTTTTTCCCCAAGACAGATGCAGTTGAAACAAACACTATGTATATATTGTTTAGACTATGATATTTTTATGCGATTTTAACTTCTAAAATCATCCAATCATCGCTTGCCGTCTTTAACGATGTGTGTGATGATGTCATTGAAAAGGGCAAGAGCGTAAACAAACTAGGGCTAGAAAATGTGGTCAGAAAGTATTTATTTTAACACATTGTTTTGCACGTTAAGTCTGCTTTCCATAGTCCATCACAGTTTCCCTAATGGGTTAAACTTACAAAATCACGTTCACTCACCAATAACACGTTAGTTTAATTAAGATTTTTCTTCCAGAGTCCAAAGCGTTTGTCACTGTAGCGGTTATTAGCCGTCGGATGTCGCAGCCAGTTTGGCCCTGTATTTGCCCCTCATCTCTTTGGGAAGCGGGACAAGACCGGGATGAGGAACTTGACCGTCCACTTCACTCATACACTCCCGCAGGAAATATTTCTTGTTTCCGAAGTTAGCGGGGTTTGACAACTCCATCTTAGCCAGAGCTTCAGCTTCGAGAACTTGACTGTGGAAGAAAGACAGAAGTGGGTGAGCAGAGCACAGGCACATTATATCTTTATATTATGGCATTTTGTGGTCATGTGTTTCCCGAAAGCATCGTTAGCCAACTATGTTCGCAAGTTCTGTCGTTATCATCAGTTCAACGAGTCGGTGTTTCCCGAAACTATAGTACTAACGAACATTCGCAAACAGCGTCACAGAGTTGTGTGTGTGAGCGCCAGATCTCGAGCTGCGGTTAGAAGCAGTTTACTCTCATTCCTGCGTAATAATCAAGAAACTTTACTGCCGTACCATGAGTGCAGCAGGCGTAATGATATGACGCAGCGCCTGAAAATAGTTCCGTTGTGTTGACGGAAGGTGGCCTATTTTCAGGCGCTGCGTCATATCATTACGCCTGCTGAGACCCCCTTTTTCCCAAGAAAATATTTTAGGGCCCCCCTTCACATTTAATGATATTATCGCTCTTGTAAGCTCGCAGGAAGGATGACAAAATATGTTGTTTTCAAACAAACGGTATGTTTATGCACAAATAATAGCCTATAATATTGAAAATACAATAACAAAAACATCAGTAGGCCCTTTGTAATTTAAAAACGTAAGCCTAGGAGAAGCCTATAAATCGGCCCTATTTGCAAAAATATTCACACTGGTGTCTAGGTAAAAAAAGAAAGAATATAGGCTATTACTAAATGACTGCTGTCTCAATACTTGCATGTTATTTGTGGGGCTTTATCAATGTGAGGCTTTATTTTTTACGCTTTTGGCGCTATAGCGAGCGATAATAATCTTGCGTTTATTAACAGAATAAGGCGTCTTTCGGAAGAACATTGTAGCCGGAACTACTTCTCTCTGTGTACGTCTATGACGAGTCACGCAGGTACTGGGCTACTCCGCAGCGGCAGCGATCCGAACCAGTGTAAAATAGTCCCAATGTAAACACCTATTATAGGTGTACCATAGTGGTTCAGGATAAGACAAAAACACGGATTGGAAAATGGATTCATGATGAACTCGCTCATTATATACATTTTGTAAATTTTGAACAGAAATAAGTTAAGGACTTTTATTTAATGATCATTGCTCAAACCTTTCAAAATATGACGCGACCCCCCACAGAGCTCGCTGAGGCCCCCTTGTGGGCCGCGACCCCCCTGTTGCGAACCGATGCTCTAGTCTAGTGCGTAAGAACGAGTCTGTGATTGAATCTGGAAATAAAGCAAAATAACTGAGAAAAAGGCAAAGATGGATTCGAACTCGATTTGCTACGGTTGACAATCCAGCCTTTTCCGTAATTTAGTTTGGCCCAATCAGGCGTCAGTGGGCGGAGTTACAGTAAATAGCCTCTGCTACTTGCACTTAGTGTAAATTAGCGGCTCAAATAGTTTTAGGGGCACGGTTCGGTACGTGCTGTGTTCAGGGAAAAAATAACTACTGTCAAATATAAAGAAAGAAAATAAGAACAAATAATCTAACTACAAGCACCAGCACAAATAAATACAATAGAGCAAAGATACAAATAAAATAAAGTAGGTATGTCTAACATTACAGAAATTGAATAAAGTAATCAAATGTAAAATAACACTGCATATTTGACTGTATAAATTAAAGATGAATCCTTATTAAAGTTACAAAAGCTATTAAATCAAGAGCACTGAGTGATTTCCTTGTCTTTTGTTGTTTGATTTACATTAAAAATACAGACTGGAATATTAGGCTGCTGTCACTTTAAAATATAACACATGGATCCAATTTATTGATACACTGAATGAACAAAGTTTACAAAGAGTGACTGTTTTGTCCACGGGTTTTTTTGGGATCATCGCTGATGTAATGTATTGGGAACCCAAAATGTGTCCATCGACAGAAACATGCATTAGCCGAACTCTGTCTGTCTGTGTTATTTTCAATAAACCATATTATAGATGCGCCGTGGGTGTCGAACCGTGGGTGGAGAACAGTACCTTTACTTTTTTACCAAGAACCGTTACACCTCAAGTGTAAATAGACACTCTCGATTTACCAAAGAAGGCAAATTAGCGTGAGCGCGAAATCCCATAAAAGTGTGATGGGACTGGATAGTTCTGCGTGTGATTGACGTGCAAATTAAACCACAGAATAATTTCCATAATGACCAGTGCTAGTAGAGGTGTGACGCCAGGACCCGGAAGTCTAATTCTCCGCCGTTCCCTTCAAGGTTTTCCGACGGGAAAGTAGTGAAACACAGCTAATATAAAGTGTGACGCGAGTTTGATCTCATGGGGACTTTACAGCACATCATGCTCTGCTACTTACGCCGGCTTGCCAAGGATCTTCTTCACATGGTGTGTGATTTCTTGATGATGCTTTCCTTCTACATCCACCAGCACTTGCTCTCCATCATCTGAACACAGAGGCAGAGGTTAGAGGATCAAGCCGATCAGAAAACAGCCTGAGAGTAAAACACTCACCGAGGTAAAACCGCAGGAAAGGGGATGGCGTCGTGTTTTTAAACATCATTATTTGAACCCAGGGGTTTTTGTACTGGATTTGAGGAATGTTGAAGAACACAAACTTCCTGTCAAATACATTCAAATTATCCTTCAAGTACACGAGTGACTTTGAAACATCTGTCATGTTTTTAACCTTCAATTCTCATATATTTAGACATTACACAACACAAATAGTATTTTATCCGACATATTGACTGTGAAAACGATTAACACTCTTTCAATAAGACCTTTCTGGCAGATAAAGTCAGCGGTTGTTGATGTTGTTGTTCTGACCTTGCTCCTTCACTCAGATCTCCATGCGTGTTGTAATTGACAGTCATAATCTTCACAGATTTTTTAAACACAATTTCTCCTTTCTGCAGATACTCCAGCGTCCTCCGTATGGGGAATCTTCCCTTCATCGGCATGATTATATGATTTATTTGCGTAACACTGATGATCCACAGACGTGATCCCAACACATCGGCTCATGCTGCTCCAGTCTCGCGCTTATTGATGACGTCAGATACACGCGCCGCCTAGAGGACTGGAGGAGCGAACAATCACTCGGGTTTTTACAGACTAAACTAAATAAATCCATTCACAAGCAATTACATTATTAAATACGTTATGATTTTTTTTTTTTTTGCGATAAACAAAAGTACAAAACAGTATTAAGGATAAATTATTTAAGGCGTGAAATACACTGTGAAATAAAATGCCGCAGAGACAGCACAAACTAATTTAAAGCAGCACTTGGCAATTTTTTCAACTTAATAAATCCATTTATAAATCATTTGGATGTTTAAATAACCTGTTCTGGTGAGAATGGTGACTTGCCCCGCTCCCCCCAGCGTTCCCAGGCGGAATTTTTGAGCTTCAAAAATCATAGGAACAAGTCAGAAACAATTAAGTTCCACGTACGAGGAAGTTCTCAGGAGAAAAGCTTTTAAAATAGCAAACGATCCCTCTCATCCACTCAATAGGGAGTTTGAACTTCTTCCCTCTGCCAGACGTTACAGAGTACCTAGGGCAAATCGTAATATTTTTAAAAATTCTTTTATTCCTAATGCAATTCGGACGCTGAACAACACGTCCCGTTGATGTGTTGTAACGTAATTGCCACTGCTGTGCTGCATCTTGCCCTGAAGATGTCTGTGTGTTAGTATTGTTGTTCTTGTTGTTTTTGTTGTTGTCGGTTTGATTGTTGTTTGTATGAGACCGAAGGCAAATTTCCACATTGTGGACAATAAAATGAAAATGAATGAAAATGAATGAATGAATGAAAACCAGCCTTGCAACATGGGGACTACCGTCCCGGTAGCGATATTTTTTTCACAGGATGGTAGGGGAGGACTCATGAATATTCATTAGGGAACTCATCCCTGATTGGTCTGATGACCTACCCCCTAACCCCGCCCCTAAACCTACCCGTCACTGGGGGTCTGATGACCTACCCCTAACCCCGCCCCTAAACCTACCAGTCACTGGGGTTAAGACCAATCAGGGATGAGTTCCCTAATGAATATTCATGAGTCTTCCCCTACCATCCTGTGAAAAAAAATATCGCGTCCCGGTAAGTTGGAAATAGGAAGTCTCGTGAGAAGCGAGAACGAGCGAGAAAGAGACCGGATCCGTCAATAGGTGTGTTCGACATCGGCTGCGGCTGGATGTAAGCGATCGGCGAGAGTTGCCGCGTGCAGGCGGGGAGGAGCTGCAAACGGAGACGTGGGGTGCTTCTCATTTCTTATTTGTGCATCCTCGTTTCCTTTCCTCGCTTCCTTTCCTCGCGTCTCAGCTCCGCCCCCTGTAGGACGCGAGGGAAGGCTGCAAGGGAAAAAAACGAGGACGGAGGAATTGAATGAAAGCTTTTTTAATACATTGGAATACTTGATCACTCCAGCGTCACTTCACTGCGTCATCAGCAGTGCTCAAAGGATCTGCCCTTATGTTGTTAAAGTTAGTTTATTTAAGACATTCATAATAAATAATAATAAAGCAAGATACCTTGTTGAAATATGTGAGTTGTGTGGTTTATGTAAACTACAAAAGTAAAGTATAAATTCAAATGATTGTGACAGATGTGAAGGGGGAGGAGAATTGATACGTGCGTCATGTTTAGTCGATAAAACACTTCCGCAAAGGGTACACCTGTGTATCCTCGCTCATAGCTCCTCTGGAAGCCTCCTCACTCCTCGATCCTCGCCTCCTCGCGGTGCAATTAGAGAATTGAGATGTCCTTCAAGATGGCTGAGCTCGATTGGTTTCCGGGTCATAGGATGGAGGACGGAGGAGCGAGGAGACGAGGAGGGATTTTGGGTGTTTCTCAAAACCAAGAATTCAAAGAACGGACTTGTGTTCTTGGGGAGAACGCTCTTGCTAGTTGTTCTTGGAAGAATGAAATCACAAGGTGACGAGCACACAGAACGCTGCTGACAGTTTGAGACGATGTGTTCTTGCTGGTATTGCGCAATAATTCCCCCGCACAGACACCGTCTGCAGTACCCAAACATAACGAGAATTATTGACGATAACAGCCAGGCTGCAATGGTCTCTTGACTGTGGGGAAAAACGAGTCTGTGAGCAAACTGGCCGGTTGGCTCGATAGCTAACGTTACACCCGCAGGCGCTTATGGAGATTCTCACTTCCGAAAACGTTTGAGCACATTTTCGATTAGCCATACATTTTCGTAAAATGCCAATATTTGAAATCTACACAGTTGATTTCTCACATCAAATGTTCTCAGAAGTGAATTTAGTGATGAAATAGTGTACGTAATTGTAGAAAAACGAAATACTGTATTGACCTGCCTCTCCTTCCTCGAATGCCGAATTGAATGCTGGGATATTTCTGCCGTCAAGTTCACACAAGTTACCAACCGATGCATCCTCGGTAAAATGGGCGTGTCAAGAACACATCCGGGATTTTTAACTGTTCTTGCCAAAATGCAAACTTGTGTATTGGGACAGTACTTGGGCCACAAAAGATGACGTTTCACAAGAACACAAGGACACAAGTACAGACAAGAACACAGATTGAGAAAGGCCCATTGAGAAGCACCCGTGAAGTCGGACACTTTCTGGTTCCCGTAGTGACCGCTCACGTGGTGTTTGCATACTTTACTGAAGTGAAATAAATGCAATATTTGCCAAATACACAGATATTTCAGACACATTTTCATTCAATACTTTAATGCTTCATACAGCATCTGTTTGAACAAGAATAAAGTTCAAAATAAGCCTATATCAATGAAGTGGAGTCAATGTTTTTTAATCAGTTTTATTTTGATAAACATGACACAATATAACATCGTGACTACATGAAAAGACTGTTTACTATTATAAAAAACTGATTTGTGAGCTTTAATGGAACTAAAGATGTGAGAATAAACACGAAACGCACGTGATCGTTGTCATGCGGTGAACCCGGCGAATCGTGGAACAGCTGTGTCGTCGTCAGAGCTCGTGCAGCTGCTCTTGAGAAGCTGGCTGAGTCCTCCGGCTACTCTTGAATCACTCTCGCGGTACTTTGATGGCATACGTCACAGTCATGTGGCGTCGGCGCTGCATCAAGTCCGATCCATAGACTGTAAAAAAGGTCCGAACAAGTCGGACAAAATTTCTAACCGGCATGCACTGCTTCAAGTCAGCCGCCGATCGGTCTGCGCAGAGCTGCATGAAGTCGAACACACCTAATAACAAAAGCACATGAGCGCGTCTACGGTAGAAAGGGGAGGAGGACACCGCAAGTGAATTTACGACAGTGTTGTGAAATATTCACACCACAGCTGTAGGGGGAGCTCGTTGAGAAAACATGCAACAAGAAAAGTGAAAATCAGCGAATAAGTAGAGTTACCATACATTAAATAACTATGGCAGCTTGTTTCCGCACTGAATAATATTAAAAATAATGATAATCGCAACTTTATCTCACTTTGTGAATGACAGTGAAGCGTCGCAACCTCTATGGTCGCAACTTTTTCATTTATTTATTTATTTGTATTGAATTTTCAAAATTACAGAGTTTTAACTTGAAACAACAATAATAATAAAAGATATGGGGCATCACAAACATATATTAAATTCCTTTAGCAGAGATACAGATCTTTGGGCTTTTTGATTTTTTAAAAACTTTACATACTCGAAATACATTTTAAAGGCTGCTTTAAAATGAGCAAAGTTGGGTTTTTGAGTTACTCCATTTAGTTTGATGAATATGAAATTTTCCTAATAATAGAAACAAATCGATAACATACATTTTTCTTATAGAAAAGTCAAATTCGTTTGTATGAAGTAAGACAGATGACAAATTTAAGACAAGGTTGCAGTTCATTTTAACACCTAGAAATTGAGACATCTCATGGTCGCAACTGATGCTGGTAGGTCACAGTCACATGATTATGACATCATGGTGGATGTATATGTCCCGTGTAATGGAATTTTTTAATCTAACCAGCTTATACCATATATGGTGTTAAAAGAAACTGCAAGCTGCATAGCATCTTCTTCCTTATTTACTGAAGACGAGTTAAAAAGAGCATTCGCAGAAGAACAATTTGTTTTGTCTCTAAAACGATAAGCTCGCTTGCACTAAGAGAAAAGGTGTTGCATTGGAAAATATACTTAATTGTTTAGATGACATATGTGTGCAAGAGTGTGCGTACAACCAAGGGGTGTTAGAATAAGTGTGAAGTTTTGGTGTATATGAACCGAAAGAAAAGGGAATTGCCCTTCTCATCTCGGACTCTGTCTGAGTGTGAACTGCCTATTCTTGCAAGAATAAACTCTTATACTTATAACTTTTGAGATCTCCAGCTGTCATTCCAATTATTGATAAAAGTCTAAAAAGAATTTCCACAACACCCGATTACATTCTTGCTATATAGAACATACTTTCGTAGCGGTCGTGAAGTAATTATTTATTCAGAATAAGTGTAATTTCAGACGCAGCTATTGTCTTGACTCTCTGAACCTGGGTCAAATTAGTGGGATTGCGTGAACTTAAATGGTCCTATATGGAACCGCTTTTGCCCCGATTAATTCTAGTGCAGGTTTGGGAATGTAATCCCCAATTTTCTTAGTGCACTTTATGTAAAAGGCCTCTGAAGACAGGCTGTTTCAGGTGTGTTTTATAGGTGTCCAGCCCTGTTCCTGGAGCCGTCAGCCTCGTGTGTCTGTCCAAATCATGAAAAATCAACTGAATCTTCACAGGTGGACTCTAATCAAACTGTAGAAACATTTGAAAGATGATCCAGAGAAATGGGATACAACTGAGATAAATTTCAAATGTCATAGCAAAGGGTCTGACTCTTTTAAAGTCCCCCTGTAGTCAATAATTTTATCCCTTAAAACTCATCTTTGATCACCAAAATGACATTTAATTAAAATCTTTATTTATGTCTTGAAATATCTTGAATGTAACTCGACACCCTTGCCTAATTTAGTATACGCGGTTCTATGAATATGCAAATGAGCCCCGCCTCCACTCACTCAGCTCAGAGATCCATTCGTTGACGAGGGGTGCGTTTCCCGAAA